CTCGCAAACAATTGGGCTGACCACCATCATCCACTCCCAACCCGTCCCTCATCTCAATCTTTTCTCCCCTTTACTTACGCTCGGCTGGCCGACACTCTAATCATTGCGCTCTTTGAACCCATCTCTCCACATTCTTTTCCCCATCTCGCTTCCACGGACCACTAGTGGCTTTTCATAGCTGCCGCTCCGAGGCCTGGCGCCGCTTCCTAGACCCAACTACACGATCAAGCTCGGCCTGCTGCTCTGGAACTCAGCCTTGCCCTCGATCGAAAGCCATCTCCGGCGTTCTTCCTCCCTGCACCGCTACCAACTCTAGCGACGAGCTCCATGTCGGACGCACAAACCTTTCCAGATTTCGACAACAATTTCGACGACCAATGGCATAGGGCTGGCTTACTGTCACAAGCGGCTTCAGACCCATCAGCTGATCTGAGTATCGGTCTATCCGACTTGACTCCGGGTTGTCTAGTGACGCCTAATCTGCCGTCCAACGCATCCGCCTTTACTGAGGGTCTGGGCCTCTGTCTGGCAGGCTTGGACGGCAGGGCAGGCCGTGAGCCGTATCGAACTCCAAGCTTCAGCAACGTTCAGCGACTTTTGCAGTTATCTTGTACGCCAATCGACCAATGTGAGTTGCGCCAATGCCTCGCAATGTCAGTATGGCCTCTGACGACGTAAGCTCGTCCTTTCCTTTGCAGCACAAGCACTCGTGCAAAGCGTCTGCGATAGCAGCCCTCTGCGCATTCAGGTTCCGCCATCTGGATCGATGGCATCATTGGAGTTGACTCCGCCCTTGAGCACGTCAGGTCTGCAGCACTCTTCTCCTTCGACGATCGGGTCAGGCTCACTGCCTGGCTCGACCCACTTCCTGACAATGTCCCTGTCCGACGACGTGCCCGTTCCTGGCTACCAAGAAAAGTCAGAGGATTGGGAGGTTGCTCTGAGCGCAGAGCAGGTGGAGCGCCACGCTCCAAATCCAGTCGCAGCTGGACAAGGCTCCATACCCGGAAGTGTCGCGGCAGCGCCCCACATGGCGCCCATGCCTTCCGTCCTCGCGCCGGCTCCTGCGCCTGCCACGTACGTCCAACACGACGGCACGTCCCAACTCGTTGCAACTCCGGAATGGTTGCTGGAAGGCGTGCCCTCTTCGCGCCGGGGTCGATCTCAGACCGAGACTACAGCTCGTCCTGTGCACCAGGTAGAGCACCCGTACACGGCTTTCAACGCCGGGCCGAGCTCTGCCGTGCAGCAACGTGCACTGTCCCATGACGGAACGGCGATTGACGCCCGCGCAAATCGTTTCAGCAGCACGCAACCGCATGGCTACTACAACGTCGACGCACACTCACAAGCAGTACCTTTCAGTGCGCCGGCCCACCAAGCCAATTTTGAGCATCTCCCATCTTGGCCTCAACAAGAGGTGTACGAGCGCAGCTTCTCCGCTTCCGTGCATCCCACTATCCAAGCAGATGCTGCCCAATACGCTTCGGGACTTGCAGGCAGGATTGGTAGCCAGAGCTTCCAGAGCTCTCGAGGAAGCAGCGGCCCTTTGGGAATCCCTGATGGATACGTCGCCAACTTTGTCCCGCACGGCGCTCCTCAACAGGGCTCGCCTCCGCTCGTCAAGAGTTTGTCGCTGCCCAATGTCGGCGGTGCGATGGTCTCGCATGGCGCAGGGAGCATGAGTCCATCGGTGGGCCCTGCTCCTCCCGCAGAGTACGCCTTGGCGCAGCAGCAGCAGGCAGACTACTTGCAGGCAATACGTATGCAGACCGGAGCTTATAGACAGCCACAGACGCAAGCGTACCTGCCAGCAAGTCGACAGCAAGCTGGAGCGGCTTTCGCGCAGGGCTCTCAACCTGCAGCGATGCCGCCGCACCACCACGGTCACCAGCACGGCCCTGCTTCGATGGCATACTACGCAGCAACGAGCAATGCAATGCCGACGTACGCCAGAGCTGCGCCCGTAGTGCACCACCATCAGCATATGCCTCATGCTGAAGGCTATGGACAGTACAGCAGCGACATGGTCCCGAGCGGATCGACGACGTACACGTCTCAAGCTCCCAGTCCTCCATTTGTCAACGTCGACGGCAGCGGTCACCACGCGCCCACGGGTCGTACCCTCATGGCGTGCGGCCACTGCAAGCGGCGCAAGCTCAAGTGCGACGGTGGCTCCCCTTGCTCGTCTTGTCGCGCAAAGAACCAGGTGTGCGAGTATCCAAAGGATATCAAGCGACGAGGCAAAGCCAAAAAGACGCTGCTGCGCGAGGCTGAGGAAGCTGCTGCAAAGTTGCGGGCTGAACAAGCCATCGCCATGGGTTACCATTCATCCCTCGGCTCCGCCAGTGGATTGTACGAGAACCTCTCGGCGTACAGGCTCTCTCCATCCTCCAGCGGATCCAAGCGATCCAGAGAGGAGGACGAGTCGGAGTGGGATGCAAGCTTGAGCGGTCAGTACGAGCAGGCATCCAACGACACTGCCGCGTATGCCAATCGTGCCCCTGGCAAAGGCACGAGTCTTGCTTCGCGCAAGAAGCAGCGTACGCAGGACAACATCATCCCTCGATGAAGCGTCCGTCGCCCTTGATGCTAAAGCTCTGCTGCAGGCACTGCAACGTATAGCTGCCACAACGCGCCGCGCAACAGCGCCGCCCCCACTCTTCTGTGGTCCCATGCGCCCGACTCCTCAACGTACGCTAGACTTTTCTCGGCTTGGTCCTGATGTGGCGGTGTCTTGGGTGTCTTGAACGTTTCCACTGACGCCATATCTTCTTATACGCACGTTCCTGTTTATCAATGTACCAATCGCAAGCTTTCGATGTGAACAGCAATGTTATCCATCCAATCCATCCATTCCCTTGTACTCGTGACTGTTTGGAGAGCGCGGTCGGAGACGTCTGTTGAGCGGTGTAGGAAGCAGGGCTGAAGGGTGTTTCCGAGTGCGCCCTTCTGCCTTTCGACATGGCCGGCTTGATATTCTCTCAAAGAGGAGAGCGTTGGAATGGCGCCTGCTGCTGCGAGCAAGTATCTACCCGGTTGACTACTTGCTGTTCTCTTGTCGCGTCGTCGCCTTGAGATCGGCGGTCGACAGCTGCAAGTCCGATGGCCATCCGCTGTTTTGTGCCTGCAGTGATGATCGTGGGTAGGAAGGAGAGGAGCTTTGTGTCTGTGACGATTGTCTGCGCTGTGAGGAATCACGAGAGAGAGGCGCAAGGGATGCTGTCTGTGTAATTATGTTCTCTGGCTTGCAGACTCTTCTGCTTCGTGAGAAGGCCAGGCGACTGGAAGCGGATGGATTGCATGTCTGCCTGCCCGCAACAGCCGGAGTGGGACTTGCGTGCACATACTCCGAGCGATGGCAAGGAAGTTCAACTCAGGCAAACAAAGACTGCTCGAGTACCCGGCAGCTTGGTTGCAATCATCCCTTACGATCCCTCTTTCCCCACACATCCATCTCAAGGGAGCAAGCATACTGTAGCCAGATCTGGCATCAAGCTTAGCATTTAGCGTGTGAGAATGCGAATCTGACAGGGCAAAAAATGAACCACAATCGTGAATGTTTTGCATGTACTGGCCTGCTCGACTCTGCGCTTGCGTACCCGTACCCGTGACTGTTGCTCTGGCCACGGTGCTTCTGTGCAGGGCTGCATCGGAAGAACGCTTCGCTTCGGTGATGCGTGCGAGGCACGGCGGGAGGGGCTGTGGCATGAGATATGCAGCTGAGCGAGAGTGTGAATGGGGTCCGAGATTCACCCTCAAGTGTCTCGCAGCGGCGCTTTGGCAGCAGCAGCAGCAGCAGCAGCAGCAGGGGTGGGGGGTGGCGCATGGGCCTGCCTGCCTGCTGTTCGGTTCTTTGCCGGCTCCCAATGTGAATGCTCCTCCCAATGCTCCCTCCCCATTTGCGCAAATCTGGTCCCACCATTCTTTTGCCGAATTTTGCAAGCTTGGCCAAAGCTAATCCCCACCCCCACCCCTGCGCAAAATGCACGGATACACACGGCTTTTGCATTGACGACACTGTGACTTCTAGCTGGATCTCTGCTTGCGGTCTGCGTGCCCGCCAGTGCCTCTGCCTCGTCGAGAGCGCGAGGTCGGAGGGCTGCGTTTGCGGATGGATGGCAGACAGTCAGTCCCTGATCACCTACCTGCAAGTCAAGGCCTGGCTGCCATGGCCTCACGCGCGTCCAGGGCCGTCGCGTCACCACAGCTGTTGTTTGGTCGCAATTCTTCACACTCGGCGCAAGGCGTCGTGCGCCCTCTGCTTGCTGCACACAATTTCCCACCGACGTGACGCGCAAGAGTAACTGAGAGCGAGCTTGTTGCAATCAAATGACGACAGCGTGAGTCGGCGACCCGCTGCAGACAACCTTACTCCAGACACCTAACACCAAGAGGAGGCAAGGGAATAGGGATGCAGTACCGTACAGTACGTACGCCTGTTCCTTCGGCTTCCGAGAATCGCGCGCTCCCTCTGCTCGCAGTCTCCCCGCCGCAATATCCGCCATCTCGTGCGATCCGCTCAGTCCTCAGCAATTTCTATTCGCCGAGCTTAACAGCAAGCACACTTTGCCGCCCTCACCCCCCACTCGAGCTTGATGCAAAAGAGGATGCGGGAATTGCATGGCTTCCTTTGCAAGCGCGGGCGGACCTTCGGGAACGCTAGCGGGACTCGCGAATGGGAAAACAAGACCAAAAAAAAAACAAAAAAAAAGGTCCCACCCACGAGTGAGAGTAGTCTGAATGTGGGGGTGGTCCAATCAAAATCCAGATTCAAGAATCGCCAATGTGAATGTTGAAGCGTCGCCGCACTTTGTAACGAACGAGCCTTTGCCCCGAACATTGTGCGCTGGCGAGAAGCAGCGGGCGTGCTGGCACTCTTGAAACTTGGAAGAGCTCTTACTTCCAGAGTGCGAGGTCGTCCAGCCTCGACAAGTCTTGCTCTATATCCAGTCACGAGTGAGACAGACGCGGCACCCAAAAAAAAAAAAAGGAAAGACCTGATCGCGAAGGGATGTGCGTGTGGCCTGTCACGTGACGGGACCACA